GCCGGGGGCGGCGGGGGAGCTCGCCTGGCCCCGCCCCCCCCTGCCAGATCTCATCAGACATGTCCAGACATGCTGGGCTGGACTCTACTGTCCCTACCAGCGCAGGGTGGAGGCTGGGACCTGCCAAGGGATCAAGTGGGTTTGAAAAGAGGAAGGAAAGAAGGGAAGTAAAATAAATAACCCAGCAGCCGCCTGGCAGGCGGGGAAAGCAAAGGGCGAGTGACCAAGGCCTGAGCGGAAGCAATTACCCAGCCTGGCAGGGCCCTGCCAAGCCCCGGTGAATCAGCCGGCCAGGAATGTGATCGCATCGGGCCATGTGAGCGAGCTGCGAAGGGCATCATGCAGGCTGGAGGCTCCTGGCTTGCGCTGCCACAGAGCCCATGAGGCTGGGCAGTTCCGAGGCTCCAGACTGGGGACTGTCCAGCTGACCCCCTCAGACCTGCGAGAGCCGGGGCAGCCTGAGTGGAGTCAGGCCTGAGATCTCTGTGCCAGCGCTGCAGCTTGGGCACCAAGGATCCCCAGGCCACACAGGGTAGGCTGCCGTCCTTGCTGGGATGCTGGGAGCATGCATCTCTTTATGGCTCTTCCCCTAGTGCAGGGGTTCCCAAACTTTTTGATACAGGGACCAGTAAATCCATTCACAAACTTTTGGAGGACTGGTAATGTTCATTTGCATATTCATTAATCGAATGATGAATATTCAAATAAGTTGTTTCTGGTCCTCCCAAAACCCCCAGTGCCAGCTTTAGCAAAGCTTTTGATATGGTCACCCACAATATTCTTGCCAGCAAGTTAAGAGATATGGATTGGATAAATGGGCTGTAAGACAGACAGAAAGCTGGTTAGACCAGGGTTTCCCAAACTTTTTACTTTAATTGGAATCCTTTTTTTTCAGTTCTGCTTTTTGCAGCCCAAAAATATAAACACACAAAAACCAAACTGAGAAAATACCAAACACAGAACATGTCTGGTATTTTCTCACTAGGGAAGTTGTATTATTACTAGATGTATCAGTTTGTAGTTTCAAACTACCTAGCTGGTAAATGTGCTCAGGCTGCATGAGTGTGTCTACCAGACAGTTCACAACTACTCGAGGGTGTGGGAGTGGGAGGGCACAATAGAATCCCCGGGCCGGACTCACTCATGCTTTGCTGGGGGGGTGGAAGAGTCAGGTTTGGGTGGGGGCTCAGGCAGGGGGGGAT